AGATAATTAACACAGGAAGATACAGATAATTAACACAGGAAGATACAGATAATTAACACAGGAAGATACAGATAATTAACACAGGAAGATACAGATAATTAACACAGAAAGATACAGATAATTAACACAGGAAGATGCAGATAATTAACACAGGAAGATACAGATAATTTACACAGGTGGATATTGGTATATTCTCACATATAGATACAGATAGATTCTCGCAGGTAGATACATACAGATAGATTTATATAGGTAAATACAGATATATTATGACAGATATGTGTTTCTGTATTTTCAAAAAAAGATTTTTTGAATATTTTCTTTTCCGGGCTTAGCTTTTGGAGGTTCAAGTTTCATCCTTAAAAATGTATTTTCACAGTTTAAAAACTAATCTCAATTTTTTAATATGAAAGATTAATTGGCACTCTCCAAGATATGAAATAAAATTATGCTAAATGTTAAAAAAATGTAGAATTTTTTTAGTGCTGCTCTTACGGATTCCTTCTTCTCCAGTGGAATGTGTTTGGGTCGAATGTTTAGTGTTCTTCTTTCCACAATATTTCTCCCTTCAACCCTTCTCTGCAGTTCAACCCTGTTCTGTGGTGTTGCATCCCTTCTCCTCCTCCTCCTAGCTCCGCACTTCACAGAGGGATTATACTCCGGAGTATTAATCATGGGATTCTTTGTATCCTGGCAGTTTGGGACGGGTTTCTCTTGGACTTCTCAGTATATGAATATTACAGGGAAACTATCCTCCTTGTTTTTTGTTGGTAAGTATACAGATAGATATTTGTGACGCAATTTACAAGATGCTATGTTACTAAACCGCCCCTTGGGTCAATTAATTATAATAACTTACACTAACGTTTGTGGGCAGAATGGGTTATGCAGGAACCCTTGGCAAAATTCACTTAATGTCCCTGAAAATTATGTGCAATCAATAGAAATTATGATTAGTGTAAACCAGGGAGTAAGGAATAGAAAGGAGATATAACTGACGCGGTTCGCCCTGGCATATGATTATACATGCTTTGCAGACGGTACTTCATTTAAATAAGAAATATTTGTCTGATGTACAATAACCGCGTATACAATAACCTATTCTGAATATTTCTTATACAAATGGAGTACCGTCTGCAAAGTATAATCATGGTAGGGTGAACCGCGTCAGTTATATCTCCCTTCTATTCCTTACTCCCTGGTGTAAACTAAAAATATATTTGTACAAAAATGTAAACAAGAAATTCCTACGAAATATTGAATGTTTGAATTTTTAGGTTTGGGTGTAGGTAGTATAATTTCTCCCCCTCTAGCTGGATATATATTCACCATAAACTCCATGTGGGTTCTATACCTTGCAGCAGTTCTGGTTCTCATCCAGGTGGTAACAGTAGCACTGCTCCATCTAGTTTCCAAGAAAGGATCTAGTGCACAGAAGGAGGAGAGATAATGTAAACCCAGCTAACGTAAACCTTGCATATTTCAAAATAAATATTCTCATGTAACGATAGAATTTTAAAATCTTTAAAATTCGTCTCTAAAGTTAACAGAATTAGAAGGTTTTCTAAAATTATTATTTGGTCTAAAAAAGCTAAAAAAGCTTGGAGAAAGTCCGAAAGATAATATGAATAAAAAAATCTAGCTTTCTTAAAGATAAAAATAGATCTGTGATTAATTTTCAAGTTAAAACATTAAGAAACGAGTTTTTTTTTCATTTTGGTGATAAATTTATTTTTATAAAAATGTTTTGCTTATTATTTGTGTTCTTCGGAACTTAACTTTTTCAGGTTACTACTAGTTAATTGGAGAAGTTTCTATATCCTAGATTTAATTGGATAAACTTCTAGAACATCTTCACTCTCAATGTTTGTGTTTTTATCAGTTATTTACTGCAATTATTTTCAGACACATTTATAATGGATCTTTATTACGGAAAGTTTTCCTAAGCATTTCATAGAATTGATTTCACTTTTTAAACTTTTATTTTTACACCAAGTTAAGATTATTTTTAGTTGATTTACAAATAGATTTAAGATGAATGACTAAGATAATATACAGTTATCTTTATGTTAAGTAAATTTGAATTGTAATAATACTTCATAGTTTTATTGAGATGGTATTTTTAATAAACCCTCCCACCAGACTGCTTTTAAAATCCAAGGTTATAATACAAGGAAAGTTTTTTCAGTGGTGTACGCATCTTTCGTACTGCAGTGTACTGTCTCTGGGCGGTAATGTAAAGACAAGACGGTAGTCAAAGCCTGACATGGGATCCATCTTTCACATAAAAAATCAATGAAATATTCTGGTCATAGGAAACTTTTATGTGAATTATCAAAATTTTCAAAATTCAATGCTTTTATCCTCATAGGATACTAAACCAACACTGATGCATTTATTCTTGTTTACAAATTCCGCCCAGAACTGAGAACTGGTTTCAATATGTACGCAACTGCAATTAACTTTCCTTGCATTATAACCTTGTTAAAAACGAAGATTTAAGGGTAATGAATGATATGTAACTACACACGTGGATTTAACGGTTCTGTCAATAATCCAGAAAGCTATGACTTTCGATCACAATTTGGCCCATTAAACATAATTTGTTAGCCTTTTCTATTAAAATAATTTTTTGTTGGCATATGCATTTTGAATGAAAATGTATAAAATAAACAAATCCGTAAAGTAAATGATTATTGAATTAAAGACCAAAACACGTTTGATTTCAAATAAAAGAAACCGAATGCTGCTCACTCTGGTTAGTCCGGTGTGTACATGTATACTTTCTAGAGTAATTTTATCTCTAAAAAGAGTAAAAAAGTTATGAACTTTTCTAGGGTCTCTTTCACAGTTTTATATTATTTTTGTTCTTCATCCGCCAAAAAAACGTTATCGTTTTCTGTAAATTTCGATCTATTTTTACATTTACTTTATAAAGCGTCAATATGTTTCTCGTTTCTTTCTTTTGATGCATTCAATCAAAGTTTTCTTCGGAGCAAATCCAAAGATCAAAGAGGGAAAACTTATTCACTCAAAATATGCATTTACAACATTAGAGATTTCAAAACAAATTCTTCCGTTACAAGTTGTATCAAAAATAAGCCTTTGTTTGTGCATATTAACATCTTTTCTTCATCAATAATTAATCATACTTTGATACCTATAGAAAGTCGGATACTGTAGAACAAAGTACATTAAAGAACAAGCCTTTTATTCAAATTAATAGTTTCAGGTGAAAATTATGATGTCGAAACTTTGAATGTAACAAATTAAAGTTTTAAAAAAGTTTTCTGGTTTTAAATTACTTCAAGTTGAGCATGTAACGTTTCAATAAAATGTTTGAAAACTTTCCAAACTTTTCCAATATTAGACTGAATTTTACCTAAACTCCTAAACTCTCCGAGGGTTTGTATTCACGAGATACATAAATATAGTTTAAGCATGTGCATTTAGTTTGAATAATAATATTCAGGTGGTCTAACTAACTGGAATTCTTTATAATACTTGAAAACATTATTGGAAAAAGAAAAAAAATAGGTTTGATTCCTATATATTTGGAACATGCAGATATAAACCTATAATATTTAATACTATACAGCATACTATGATATCAGAGTTGGGAACTTGTGAATGGTGAATATCGGTGATCTCCTCTTTTTCTTAATCTCCAGATTAAATAATGCTTGTTCTTCTCTTGTTTTTAATCTCCAGATTAATTAACTGATCGGGATTAAGGATATCCCATTCTAAAGTTCCCAGCTCAGTTTAAAGGGAGTGTTCGCGAAAAATGAAAGGGGGTATAGGCTTAATGCGATAAAAAAGCGCTTTTGATCGCTACTAATCTTACTTCTATCTGTTGCGTCTATAAGGAGAAAATTGATAAAGACGTCTCATACCGAAGAGCGTAGCGCCCATACAAATTGAGGAAGTTGGAACATACACGACTTAGACCGTAACAAAATCAAATTAATATCAAACAAATCATTCAGATATTACAACCTATAGTCATCGATTATCTTTCGCCACATTTGTATATATTTAATATTTTATACTAGTTTTGATTTTGTTTTTTTAAATAATATTTAGCTTACAACTTGTTTTCGAACATTCCTGGAAAATATGAAAATGTCGTCTTCATTACCAAAAATCCTCGAAACAGGAATAAACGTTTTTATAAGTAACTCTCAGATCATAACAATTAAAAACATATTATGAAAAATCAACTATATATAAATGTGGCGAAAGATAATCGATGACTATAGGTTGTAATATCTGAATGATTTGTTTGAAATTAAATTAATTTTTTTACGGTCTAAGTCGTATGTTGAAATTTTCTCAATTTGTATGGACGCCATGTTATTCGGTATGAGACGTCTTTAACAATTTTCTCCTTATAGACGCAACAGATAGAAGTAAGATTAGTGGCGATCAAAAGCGCTTTTTTATCGCATTTAGCCTATACCCCCTTTCATTTTTCGCGAACACTCCCTTTAAGAAGATGTTAGAATGAGAATATTCTCGTGGTAAGTGCTCAGTTTCTTTGTAAGCAAAACTCACGAAAAGACAAAAAGTACTTGAAAAGACAAAAAGTACTTGAAAAGACAAAAAGTACTTTAAAAAGGTGCGTTTAAGACAGTTATAACAGGATCGAAGAAAATAAAGAAACTACACGAAAGTGACGAACAAATTCTCAAGACGTATTCCAGCCCATTTAGTCCGGAAATCTCCTAATGAACAAGAATCCCCCCACAGATCCTAAAAAACTGACTGATAAATAAGTCCCCCCCCCCATACTCCCGAAATAGCGCTTTTTTATTTCAATAAACCACTTTCCCAACAGTACCAGAAAAGCTCATGTTGAACGAATATCTCCCCCGCCCCCCCTCCTCCCTCCCTCTCCGTCCAAGGAAAAGCCCTAAAGAAGAAGTATAAGAGAGGAATTGAAATACAATAATATTGACATTACGTCAAGGTATATACAAGCCAACATGCTAGAGAATCCAGGCAGATAAACCTCTAAATAAATCTGCCTTGTCTTCTCCTTTATACCTAGATATAAACATTAGACTTAAACTTAATCAGATCTAGGCCAAATACAAACTAGGTTTTAAAAAAACCTTTGATATGAACTTATCACACTTGTCAAATTGAACGAATGAATGATTTTAAAATTTGCCGCCAAATCCCTTTCTCCTAGAGATTTTAAATTGAGTCTGTTAACTCAAGGTATGTTTTGTATACTTGTATAATAGTAAAGAATATAAAGAATCTAAAAAAAGAGGTTTGGGTTGAAGCATAGTTGAGGATTCTGTCAGTTGTGTCAGGAACAGAAGATAAAGAAAACCAGAATACTGACCAAACCATTCTCCTATATACACTAAACTACACAGTAGAATACAGACCAAACCCTTCTTCTATACACTACACTACACAGTAGAATACAGACCAAACCCTTCTCCTATACACTAAACTACACTACACAGTAGAATACAGCCCAGGTAGAAAAGTGAGTAGACCGATTAGCACCAGGTAGAAAAGTGAGAAAAGGTTTAGCTCCTGACACCAAAGTAAGAAGTGTTTATGATGACACTAATCTAAGAAACGGAAGAAGAAGAGCATTAAAGCTTGAAGCACAATACAGCGCAAACCAACCTCTCAGACTTCTTCTGAAAAACTTAATCTAAAGATCATTTCCTAGGTTTAGTTTGGGAAGGAACTTTATCAAAAGATTCTAGAAGAGGTTTAGAAATATATTTAACTTTCTATTCAATTTCAACAAGATTGATATTTTTCAATGGAAATTGGATATTTTTTAACTTTGTATAAATTTATTTTTATTTAATTAGTCGATTCTATACATTCTAAACATAATATGAATTATGAAAAATATTAACATGCTAAAACTTTTTGTTTAGCTGTGTTCATTCTGCGCCGTGCGTACAAAAAATAAATACTCAATGTTGAACAATCAAATTTACTAATTTAGTAACTATGACAACAAGTTCAAATTTCAACTTGACACTTAATGATTAATGAAAGGAAATGACCATAATTCATTTAAATAAACTTGTTGTGTTACTCCATACAATGTAAACATTCTTATGAATTAAGAAAGTTTAAAGTTAGTGCAGATGAAAAATTGTTAGAAGGCAACATTTCGTGGTGTTAGAGATGTCGAAAATGATCAAAACTATTTCTAATTATTGAAGACTTTGTTATAATTTATTTAGGATTTTAGATCTATCTGTTAGAGTGGGCTATCAATCTTTATCATCCATGCAATCAAAAAAAAAAAATATATTATCGCTGTTAATTTTTAGAGGTTATAGAGATCCCTTGACAAAATAGACTCATGTGTAATGTATATAGCATATTCGATGGAAGAGCTCAAAGGTGTTTGATCATATCATAAAAAGGACAGTTCATTATATGTTAATAAAAATAAACTATAATGAATATAGCATATTCGATGGAAGAGCTCAAAGGTGTTGGATCATATCATAAAGAGGACAATTCATTATGTTAATAAAAATAAACTATCAAACTTCATTCCGTAGAAATCTAGGCCAAAATAACCACCATAGGATGGAAATAAAGAGCCAGTTGATAAATGATTTAAGTCTAGCGTGTACACTGTTGTTGCACATAAATCATTATTCCGCACAATGTCGTCTTTACCATCTCGGAGCAGCCCAAACCAAACAATATTCTCCGACATTACCTTCATACTCCGACAAAGGAAACATTAAATAGTTTAACGTTTAACTAGCGAATACTTAAATCCGTCAATAGCTCTGCAATCCATAGCAATTTTACTTAAACAACTGGGTTTTTTTTCTCAGAAGTGTTATCCAAATGTTTTAAACTGACCCATCATCCATCACTCCTTAATTTCCCTCAGACACACACAATTAGTAAGTTACACAATTAAACAGTATAAACAATTTTATTCAAATATTTATTTTATTAAACAGTAAAACAATGTTATATACCAATATTTATTTCCACTAAAACTGTATTTTGTAGGTTTGAAATAAATTCATTTATTGAGACTACTGTGTTTGAGGAGTTGAGGACCCATCACCTTTAGATATTGTGTTTACAACCGTAAAGTTCATAGTTTTTATCAATATTATTTGACTCGACAATGTTATCTTTAATCTATAAATTATTTAATGTAGTAACCCTTGGGACCGATTTACCTCAATTTTTTTGGGTAACTCGGGAGAACCACGAGAATGTTCTTAGCATGAGATTGAGTTTATGGGGAAAAATTGCTAAAATCGTAATTTAAGACCAAGTGCTGGCAAAGCTGGGTTTCCATAGCTGGTTTTAGATATAAAAAACATGTATACAACATTGAAGGAAAATAAAATAAAATACACTTTTTCGAATAGAAGAGCGAATGTAAATTGTATAGTAAACTTCTATGATCCAGGTATGCTTGAGTGCTCTGGTTTGACTGATATTGGCAGGATATCAGTTGCCCAGGGGAACCTGGAGTAAGACAGAGAACTCGATAAAGAAAGGTTGAGTAATTTGATTCAAACTGTTCAACCAGAAACATAGAAGAACTATTTCAAAAGGGATTCACTGATTCTACTTTAAATTATACAAAATCCCTCACACTACCCCAGAGCACCGGCCCGGGNGCAGGTCGGGGTCGATGAATTCTCACATCTTTAACAATTCTTGGAATATTAGGGAAAGAAAACAATAAGATGGTTCCATTAACTCTATCTCTTTGAAAGAAAAATACTTGAAATGAAATTTTGAAAATTATTTAAAGAAATAAAAGAAAGGAAGTTATACAGTTGGAAAATTACAGGATGGTTGGAGGAATTCAGGATGTTAGGAGGAATACGGGATGTTAGGAGGAATAAAGGATGGTTGGCGGAATTCAGGATGATTGGAGGAATACAGGATGATTGGAGGAATACAGGATGGTAGGAGGAATTCGAAGGATGTTAGGAGAAATTCAGGATACTTGGAGGAATACAGGATGGTTGGAGGAATACAGGATGGTTGGAGGAATACAGGATGGTTGGAGGAATACAGGATGGTTGGAGGAATTCAGGATGATTGGAGGAATACAGGATGGTTGGAGGAATTCAGGATGATTGGAAAAATACAGGATGATTGGAGAAATTCAGGATGCTTGGAGGAATACAGGATGGTAGGAGGAATACAGGATGGTAGGAGGAATACGGTTGGAGGAATACAGGATGGTTGGAGGAATACAGGATGGTTGAAGGAATACAGGATGGTTGAAAGAATTCAGGATGGTTGGAGGAATACAGGATTCTTATGAGATTTGTATTCATAGATTGGTTTAAGAGAAAACAGGATGATTTGGAGGAATACAAATTTCCATGTCATGGTCTATTATACGTACAGGATTACAGACTGATCTGAACTAATAGGTTTACAACTTTAGGGTGCCTTTCGAGTTTAGTTTATTTTTGTTAAAGGGAATGGGGTGGGGTTCGAGGGTAATTATTCTGATTATGCTAGCGATCGTGTATTGGGGGGAGGGTGGGTTGAGCCAAGGTTTGGAAGAAGCACTCCAAGTTTCTTTTTTGTCTGCTAGTAACAGGTTTCAAGTCAGCTGTTCTGGTGTTAGTACAGGAAAGTTGTGTACCGACCTGGACCTGCGCAGAAAACCCAATTTACTAAAGCTCTCAAGATTTCTGCGCATCACAGCTTCAGTTAACGCCATATCACTACAAGAGTTTCGCAAGTTTTATTATGTTTACAAAATGATTTTAAATACTGATCCTGATTGTGATTAAACATTTGATATCTGTTAGTGTAGCTCGTTAATACATGCCTGTTCGGTTGAAAACGATGTGTGCCAAAAAATTGGATGGGTTTCAAAGTTCAAATTCGTCGTTCTGGAGACAGTCCAGTGGAGCTATTCCTGGCAGGGTCAATCAAACTAAATCTTCAGGGTTTGGAGCCGCGGCTCACAGCTTTCAAGACTTCCAAGAGAGTGTCTCAGACGCCTGGGATATCGAGGAACCAATAACTCCAACATCAGCTCCAGTTAAAGAAAGCAAGGAAGGAACTGTTTCAAAGGAGAAGGACGGAATTACCCCCACACACTCACTTTCTCAGGTATTGGATTCATAGCTGGATATTTAGATTTGATTTTACTTGAGAACTACTTCTCTTTACTCTCTGGTAAATCTACCCAATCCTTACCCTCGTCCCTGGTAAACCTATGTACTCCCTGGTTAACTTATTTACTCCTTAGTAAACCTACCCAATCCTTAGATTTGATTTTTCTTGAGAACTACTGTTCTTTACTCCCTGGTAAACCTGCTTACTCCCTGGTAAACTTGTTTACTCTCTGGTAAACCTATTTACTCCCTGGTTAACTTATTTACTCCCTGGTAAACCTGGGTCCGTCCTATTGAACGATTTTTGGACCCCCCCCCCCCCTCCTATCAATTTTGTACATGACCAAATTAATATTTATTAAGTATTATTTAGGGTTAGACTAGGTTAAGGCACTTTCAGGGCCGAGCGGTGCGGCTAGGACAGGCTAGGGGGCCGAGCGCTGCGGCGACGGGTTATGTTGGTTAAGACACTTTCTGGGCCGAGCGCTGCGGCTAGGATTTACCGTAAACCTACCAAATCCTTACCCTCTTCCCTGGTAAACCTATTTAGTCCCTGGTAAATTTATTTATTCCCTGGTAAACATATTTACTCCCAGGTTAACCTATTTACTCCCTGGAAAACCTATCTACTCCCTGGTACTCCTATTTAATCTATGGTAAACTTATTTACTGCCTGGTAACCCTATATGAATCCTGGTAACCTTACCTAAACCCTGGTTAACCTATCTGAACCCTGGTAAACCTAAACTCCCTGGTAAATCTATCTGTACCCTGCTAAACCTTCCTGAATCTGGTAAATCTGCCTGAATCTGGTAAACCTACCTGAATCTAGAAAACCTACCTGAATCCTGGTAAACCTACCTGGACCCTGCTAAACCTTCCTGAATGAGGTAAACCTTCCTGAATCTGGTAAACCTACCTGAATCTGGTAAACCTACCTGAATCTAGAAAACCTACCTGAATCCTGGTAAACCTACCTGAACCCTGGTAAACCTATATGAAACCTGGTAAACCTACCTGAATCCTGGTAGACCTACCTGAATCCTATTAAACCCATCTACTCTCGGGTAAACTTACCTGAACCCTGTTAAACCTACCTGAATCCTGGTAAACTTACCTGAATCCTATTAAACCCATCTACTCTCTGGTAAGCCTATTTACTCCCTGGTAAACCTATTTACTCCCTGGTAAGCCTATTTACTCCCTGGTAAGGCTATTTACTCCCTGGTAAACCTATTTACTCCTTCGTAAACCTATCTACTCCCTGGTAAACCTACATGAATCCTGCTAAACCTACCTAAACCCTGGTAAACCATCTGAACCCTGTCAAACCTACCTGAATCTGGTAAACCAACCTTAACCCTGTCAATTATACCTGATCCCTGGTAAACCAACCTGAACCCTTATAAACCTACCTGAAACCTGGTAAACCTACCTGAATCTTGGTAAATCTACCGGAACCCTGGTAAACCCAATTGAATCCTGGTAAACCTACCTGAACCCTATTAAACCCATCTAATCCTTGGTAAACCTACATGAACCCTGTTAAACCTACCTGAATCCTGGTAAACCAACCTACCCGAACCTTGGTAAACTTACCTGAACCCTGGTTAACCTACCTGAACCCTGGTTAACCAACCTGAACCTGGGTTAACCTCCTTGAACCTATTTGAACCCTGCTAAGCCTATCTGAACCATGGTAAACTTATCTGAACCCTGTTAAACCTACCTGAACCCTGCTAAACCTACCTGAACCCTTGTAAACCTACCTGAACCTTGGTAAACCTACCTAAACCCTTGTAAGCCTACCTGACCCTAGTAAACCTACCTGAATCCTAACAAGCCTACCTGAACACTGCTTAGCCTATCTGAACCCCGGTAAACCTTTCCATACCATTTGGGGTTGAAGCAATCTGTTTCCTTACAAAATTGTCCGATTTCTTTCACAAAGAAAAAATCGTCTAAAGCATGTCTTTTAATACTTAGTCCAGCGCCTTTTTGGTAAAAAAAAACTTAGCTTATTGTCCCTTCTTACTTATTATATGAATGAATGTGGCGGATTGTTGAAGCAGTAATTAATGGGCTCAATGTTATGTATTTGTAAACAATTAAAGCAACTAACTTCAAGTCCTTCAACCTAACGCTTTATTATCATGAGTTGAGAGGTGTAATCCGTGGAAATATATTTTTCCATTTAGTAATTTTTCTTTTTCCCAACCTTTGTCTCTTGGGAGAAAAGTGAAACACAAAAAAAATTATTCACTATTTCCAATCCTAGCCTAACGTTGTTGAATCGAAAAAGGCATTTCTGGATATAAATAACCCCGTCTATTAACAAAAAACAATATTTTTCTCATATTTTAATAGAATTGATGATTTATAAATAGTACTCTCCAGCATAACCCAAATATTTAAAAGATCAAATAATGACAGAACTCTCTTCTCTGCTATTTACTAACATATGTTCTTTTTGCTCAGTAGAGTAAGTAATCAATTTGTATGAATGCATTTTGTAAAACAATGAAATGAAATTTCTCCCCTTCTCCTTCTCCTCTTCTCCTTCTCCTCTTCTCCTTCTCTTCTCCTTCTTCTGTTCTCCTTCTACTCTTCTCCTCCTCCTCTTCTCCTTCTCCTCTTCTACTTCTCCACTTCTCCTTCTCCTTGTCTCCTTTTCCTCTCCTTCTTTTCTTTCTATTGTTCTCTTCTCCTCATCTCCTTCTTTTCTTTTTATTATTCTCTTCTCCTTCCTTACGAATTTTACAAGATGAAGAAAGTGCACATATATTATAATGAATCATTTGGTTTAAATAAAATAAACCTACAAAACAAATATGCATAATTATTTACCCTTGAAGTATTAGTAGATAATGGCCCACATATGCTTTGTGTACTTACTCTTTAAACTTTTAAACTTAATCCTCAAATCTTGCAAATATAGGATATTCCCAAATCTTGCAAATATAGGATATTCCTAAATCTTGCAATTATAGGATATTCCCAAATCTTGCAAATATAGGATATTCCCAAATCTTGCAAATATAGGATATTCCTAAATCTTGCAATTATAGGATATTCCCAAATCTTGCAATTATAGGATATTCCCAAATCTTGCAATTATAGGATATTCCCAAATCTTGTAATTATAGGATATTCCCAAATCTTGCAAATATAGGATATTCCCAAATCTTGCTTCCAATATCATATATTTTTCTACAGTAATTATAATATTACATAACACAGTAAAATAATGAATATTTTTAAAACTTCTTCAGCTGGGGAGTTGTTCCAAGATCCAATATCTTTTGAGCTTGTCGAGCTTATCTACTGTTCTACATTTTTTCTAGAATAAGAAGCAATGAAGCTTCATTAAAAACATCTTGTTTGACATTGAACGTTGAAATGTTAAACTTGAATATAGATTTATATATATTTTATATTTATGTATGTATGTTATGTATGTTGTATATAAAATGTTATAATATATATATTATATATTTTGATATGATGAAATATTCATAACCGAATTTTCAGTTTTATAGTTTTGAAATAACTACATAGGCAAAAAAAGGATTTTTAATATTTAATGAAACTCATTAAAACTTTAATAGTATAAAAATAATTTAAATATTAGATAGTTTTTCACCTTAACTCTTTTTAAATATATTTAATATATATTTGCATATATGTTAGCTATAACTGGCCAAACGACTGGACTAAGTGGGTACCTTGGGGGTAACATAGGCTAAAAAATCGATTTGTTTTTCTTTCAAAATTCCGAAAAAATTAATTAGAAATTATTTTTCTTCAATATTATAATTTTATTTTAATTCCACGGGCAACGCCGGGCACTTCAGTTCGTCTCTCATAAAACGATAAATTTGGGTAAAAGACATCTTCAAATTAATACAAATTATACTCGCAAGAAAATTGATATGAATTCTTCCTACCATATTTTATTTCAATAGAAACTTGCTCCAAGTATTCTGATAAAAAAAATTGATTAGAAGTATAAGGATACAGTTTTGAAAAAAGGGGGGGGGGTATTATTCTCTATTAATAATTAGAATAAGAGTATTTTGTTTCTTGAATTCTATTTCTGTATCTAAAACATAAATTGCCTCTATCTACATGGAATACTAGTTTATAGTGACAACAATATTTAGATTTTGTTCAAAAAGTTAGATCTATGAAATTCTGCAGTTTAGTACATTTTCTAAAAATCCTCAAATTTTAGAATTGATAGAATTGATAGAATTGACACCGTGACAGCGCTAAATTCTATTCTTCTCCTTTCATGTAATATTTCTCCCCTTCCAGGATACTGGTTTCATTTCACTCAAATATTCGAGCTGATTTATCAGATCATTTTTACATCAAACTTGTTTATCAGATATTTCATTTATGAAGGACTTTTATTACTCTCGATCATGACTTTCAAACAAAAATTGATTGCTGTTCAAATAGATGTATTTTACGTTTCTCCTCTTTCTCCTTTTCTTCTTTCCATTCTTCTTTCTCTAATCCTCTACTTCACATTTTCCCACTATCCTCAATTTCCACCTTTCTGCTTGTTTTTTCTCTTTTTCATTCTTTCATTTCTTCATTCTTACCCTTTTCAAATTTGTCCCGTGATTAATCTTTCTTTTCTTTGTCCCTCTTTATCCTGCTTCCCCTTTCCTCTTCCCTTTGCATCGCCACTTTCCCTTCTATACTTCTCTTACTCTCCTTCTCCTCTTATTTTCTCCTTCATCACTTCTTTCTCCTCTTCTCCTTCTTCTCCTTCTCCTCTTCTTTCTTCTCCTCTTCTCCTTCTCCTCCTCTACTCCTCTTCTTCTCCTCTTCTTATTCTTCTTCTCCTTGTCTCCTCTTCTTCTTTTTCTCCTCTTCTCCTTCTCCTCTTCTCCTTCTCCTCTCCTTCTCCTCGTCTTATTCTTCTCCTTCTCCTTGTCTCCTCTTCTTCTTTTTCTCCTCTTCTCCTTCTACACTTCTCCTTCTCCTCTTCTCCTTCTCCTCCTCTTCTCCTCTTCTTTTCCTCTTCTTATTCTTCTCCTTCTCCTTGTCTCCTCTTCTTCTTTTTCTCCTCTTCTCCTTCTACACTTCTCCTTCTCCTCTTCTCCTTCTCCTCTTCTCCTTCTCCTCTTCTCCTTCTCCTCTTCTCCTTCTCCTCTTCTCCTCCTCTTCTCCTTCTCCTCTTCTTATTCTTCTCCTTCTACTTGTCTCCTCTTCTTCTTTTTCTCCTCTTCTCCTCCTTGTCTCCTCTTCTTCTTTTTCTCCTCTTCTCCTTCTACTCTTCTCCTTCTCCCCTTCTCCTTCTCCTCTTCTCCTTCTCCTCTTCTCCTTCTCTTCTCCTTCTTCTGTTCTCCTTCTACTCTTCTCCTCCTCCTCTTCTCCTTCTCCTCTTCTACTTCTCCACTTCTCCTTCTCCTTGTCTCCTTTTCCTCTCCTTCTTTTCTTTCTATTGTTCTCTTCTCCTCATCTCCTTCTTTTCTTTTTATTATTCTCTTCTCCTTCCTTACGAATTTTACAAGATGAAGAAAGTGCACATATATTATAATGAATCATTTGGTTTAAATAAAATAAACCTACAAAACAAATATGCATAATTATTTACCCTTGAAGTATTAGTAGATAATGGCCCACATATGCTTTGTGTACTTACTCTTTAAACTTTTAAACTTAATCCTCAAATCTTGCAAATATAGGATATTCCCAAATCTTGCAAATATAGGATATTCCTAAATCTTGCAATTATAGGATATTCCCAAATCTTGCAAATATAGGATATTCCCAAATCTTGCAAATATAGGATATTCCTAAATCTTGCAATTATAGGATATTCCCAAATCTTGCAATTATAGGATATTCCCAAATCTTGCAATTATAGGATATTCCCAAATCTTGTAATTATAGGATATTCCCAAATCTTGCAAATATAGGATATTCCCAAATCTTGCTTCCAATATCATATATTTTTCTACAGTAATTATAATATTACATAACACAGTAAAATAATGAATATTTTTAAAACTTCTTCAGCTGGGGAGTTGTTCCAAGATCCAATATCTTTTGAGCTTGTCGAGCTTATCTACTGTTCTACATTTTTTCTAGAATAAGAAGCAATGAAGCTTCATTAAAAACATCTTGTTTGACATTGAACGTTGAAATGTTAAACTTGAATATAGATTTATATATATTTTATATTTATGTATGTATGTTATGTATGTTGTATATAAAATGTTATAATATATATATTATATATTTTGATATGATGAAATATTCATAACCGAATTTTCAGTTTTATAGTTTTGAAATAACTACATAGGCAAAAAAAGGATTTTTAATATTTAATGAAACTCATTAAAACTTTAATAGTATAAAAATAATTTAAATATTAGATAGTTTTTCACCTTAACTCTTTTTAAATATATTTAATATATATTTGCATATATGTTAGCTATAACTGGCCAAACGACTGGACTAAGTGGGTACCTTGGGGGTAACATAGGCTAAAAAATCGATTTGTTTTTCTTTCAAAATTCCGAAAAAATTAATTAGAAATTATTTTTCTTCAATATTATAATTTTATTTTAATTCCACGGGCAACGCCGGGCACTTCAGTTCGTCTCTCATAAAACGATAAATTTGGGTAAAAGACATCTTCAAATTAATACAAATTATACTCGCAAGAAAATTGATATGAATTCTTCCTACCATATTTTATTTCAATAGAAACTTGCTCCAAGTATTCTGATAAAAAAAATTGATTAGAAGTATAAGGATACAGTTTTGAAAATCTTGTCATTGGTTCTATTATCTATATATTATCTATATATTATCTATATATTATCTATATATTGAATATTCATTAGATAGTGTGAAGGTAAGAATCTTAAAACCTTTTAAATCAAACCTTACAATGTCTCTCTAAATCTAGCCACCTTGTACAATGTACATAATATATACATACTAGAAATTCAAGGCGCTTCGCGCCCTTCTTTCTAGGCTTTTTGGGCGCTTCGCGCCCATCTTCTATTTAAATTGTGAACATGTTCCTTTTGCTTACATTTTAAAACAAAAAAGAAAAAAATTTGCGGATTTAAAAAAAAAAATTCGCGGATTTGCAAAAATTTAGTTTTTTTAATTTTTAAAACCTTTAAAACACATTTTTTTAATTTTTATCATTCATAAACCTTCCCTGTGGTCACGTGATGTCCCACAAAAAATTTGGGCCCGATTTGACGTTTTGACGTTTATTGGATACAAAAAAACAGACAGACAAGCCAAATTTATATATAGATTGTAATACAAGTGTCTGGATATCTATCTATCTACTTTCAAATATAGAATATTTCGCAAATCAGATTATTGAAATTATTTTTCAACAATTATTTGTACTTACATACATGTCTATGATATGTCCGGATGAATATTTTCGATTAAGAAAATCAATTTGTAGACTTTTTTCTTCAAATAATTACAATTTTTGGTAACTTTTGTTTTGTTTCAGATCCAGTCCCGTCAAGTCACTCCTAGACTTAACCTCATCCGGAGAAGTCCCCCCAACCCTGCCCAGAGCCCAGACCTTGAGAAGGAGAAAACCAAGTGTGCCAAGTTTGAGAAGGTTCTCTCCGGGTCCCCGGTGAGTATAGCGGAGCTGGAGAAGCTGAGCTGGTCTGGAGTACCTCAACCCTACCGAACCCGAGTATGGAAGATGTTATGTGGATATTTACCCGCCGGGAAGTCGGATCTGGTTCTGCAGAGAAAGCGGGAGGAATACATCGGATATGTGAATCAATATTTCAACAACAAAGAAGAAGATATACATAAAGATACTTTCAGGTTTAAAAGCAAAACCTTAGTTTTATCAGACCATGAAAAACTTTCAAGTTTTGCAAATTCTTGAATATTTTCATATTCTCCGGATAAAGGTTTAGCTCACATCTCCCGTCTTGGGAAAGGAAAATGGACCTGGGACAATTTATAAATGGACAATAAATAATATATATATATGGCTCTCAGGCACAGTTACTTCCTATTTTTCATTCAATTGCACTCAGATGGGAGATGGGGTAAATGTAAATGATTCTGATCCTAAAAGAAGTATTCTAGTTGAGGATTCTCCCTGTAAATTGGCGAATGAGAATGAAAATTTGAAACGGTCATCTGAGTTCTCTCCTGAGACTCATTTCTCTTATCTCCTTATAAGAGAAGAATCTAGAAATAATTTTACACTGGTGAATGGGGAAAGGAAAACCTACTGAGAAGGGCATATATTTTACTAGGAATTATAAATCCAGGGGTCTTATTTAGGGAAATGGGGAAAAGGTACTTCTTGAAATATTATTTTTGTTATTTTGAACCAAATCCATTAAAATTTTTTAAATACAAGCTTTTGCTTTTAGACAGATTTCAATCGATGTTCCCAGAATGTCTCCTCTGGTCACCCTGTTCCAACAGAAACCCGTTCAGGAACAGTTTTATGTTAAATTTAAACTTTTTTTCTATTATTTTTTGTTGACCTAAACATGTTTAAATCAGCATTCTTATTGCAATCTGGTTTGAGAAGATCTATATTCCTGAGTATATCCCGGGATTTATTTAATTCTACAATTCTATTTTGTCCAAACCAACACAACCCAATACAATCAACTCAATCATATCCATCACATTTCCTTTCTCTGGCTTTCGTCTTCTGACATTTAATTTTTTTTTTGGTTGATTCTAGAATTTTGTAAAATATTTAGAATTATCATAATCTGTTGGTTTAGGAGATGGTTGAACGAATCCTATATATCTGGGCTATCAGGCATCCAGCTAGCGGATACGTCCAGGGTATTAACGATCTTGTTACACCCTTCCTTATGGTTTTTCTCCAGGACTACGTGGATACAGATGTTACCAGGGTCCACTTCCAGTTCGACGAGCTGGAGGAGCAGGTTCGTAAGGATATTGAGGCGGACGCATTCTGGTGCATGACGAAGGTCCTGGAGGGAATCCAGGATAACTATACATTTGCTCAGCCTGGGATTCAGGTTAAGATCAGACAGCTGGAGGAACTACTCAAGAGAGTTGATCAAGATCTTCATAATCATATTGTAGGACACGATGTTCAGTATTTACAATTCTCATTCAGATGGATGAACAATCTTCTGCTCAGAGAACTCCCTCTCACTGCAACAATAAGGCTCTGGGACACGTACCTAGCTGAGACCGAGGGTTTCAGCAAGTTCCATTTGTATGTGTGCGCGGCGTTCCTTATCCGGTGGAAGGTTGATCTGATGAATAAGAAGGATTTCCAGGGAATTCTCTTATTTATCCAGAATGTTCCAACAGCCAAATGGAATGATAAAGATATAAGTTTGTTGGTGGCTGAAGCGTACCGGCTCAAGTACACCTTTGCAGATGCTCCAAACCATCTACCTGACTGTAGAATAAAGACGAGTATGTGATACTTGACCCCTGTGATACGAAGAAACTAGAAGTTTTGACCGGCGTGAGATATTTATCTATTTTTGTATCAAGTTGGTGAGCTGAAGAGAGATACATGGTTTTATTTACAACATTCTTAGTTTGTAATCTTTTAGTTTGATATTTAATAAAACATTTATATAGTTGTAGTTAGATAACACAGCATTTAGTGTAGATTAAGGCCTTTATTGGGACTCAACCATTGGGAGTTAGTGACCCTCCATTTATGTATTGCCATGTAAGATTCGCAAGAGTATTCTGATCAAGACGAACAAAGATATTTTGTTTTTCCTAGCTAAAAATTGAGTGCCTAAATATTTTATCTGGAGACAAGTTTTTAATAGCTTTTTTGGGAAATCCTTTGATTTAAATTTCGGTTAGGAAAATTCGATAGTATTTGTGACAAACTAGCCTTTTTGGTAAGATATTTAAATTTTTGATTGAAAGGTTTGCGTAATTTTGTATTACACAATAAGAATTCCACTTTTCAGCAATGAATGCCGCGTATAAAATCGTCGCTTAAATCCCAAGTTTATCCGCTAAAGACTCCTAATCATTATACAAAACAAAGTTAAGTAAATAATTAATTGGTTTAAAAGAACATTTCATCATTTTGAAAAATATAGAAAATATCTTCTATTTCTAATGCTTATGAATGTTGATGTAACTGCTGATGAAGATGAATTATCCATGTATGAATAAATGAACCTATAGTTTCAGTTTGTTAGAAGTAGTAGTAAAAGTAGCAATATTTACAACACATAATAGGTAAAAACAATCGTCTAAAAATTTTATCCCCAATGAACAAAACTGGAATTGTAAAATCTGCCTAATTGATGTTATTTTTCTGTGTTTTTGACTCTGGATGATCTGAAATTTAGATATGCCTGTCACAAGAGTCACAAAACACTTCCTGTTAAAAACATTAAAAATTTAAATATATCTTTTTATCATTTTTGGGTAGGGTTGGTTCTGGACAGAGCGCCGCGGCTAGGCTAGAATATTCTACAATGAATTAATTCTGCCTTGTTGTAAGATAACAACCGTTAATCCAACTTTTTTCATGCACAAAACTCTTAATATTCCTCAATTCATATTTTTCAATATTCATTCATTGTTGGTTCAATACGTATCCTACAAGATTAATAAGAACTAGAAGTCTAGTAACACATTCTTAATTTTCCTCTTGGGAAAGGGTTGAAATGAGCACAGAATAGAAATAATAGAGTTTTCTTAAAAAAAAAATAATACACTAGGCTTTAAGGGCGCTTCGCGCCCATCTTCTATTTAAATTGTGAACATGTTCTTTTTGTTTACATTTTAAAACAAAGAAGAAAAACATTTGGCGGATTTTCAAGAATTTAAAGTTTTTACAAAATTAAAAACTTTTAAAACACATTTTTCTTAATTTGTATCATTCATTAACCTTCCCTGTTGTCACGTGATATCCCACAAAAATTTTGGGCCTGATCGGTTCCGCCGTTTTGACGTTTATTAGATACAATCAGACAGACAAGCCAAATTTATATATAGATATGGGTGATTTGCAAACACTTCTAATTATTCGAACTTCTGACATGGTATTAAGAAAGAAATACCAAAAAAGAACTTTTGAATAAGGATGCTAATAATACAATAAAAATCATTGTTTTTGTTATTATTATATTTTGAAATGCTCATCTTACTAAATATAAATTAAAGAAATGAAAGACAAAAGTGTATTCCTTTAAACAAAGTTAAATCTCCGGAAACTGGAATTTTAATCTAAAATGCAAAATTACAGTTTTCCTTTTCAAGATTTTGTATAAATATATATACATATATTTATATTTCAAAAATCGCTTACGGGCTAGACTCTTTGTGTTCCCTAGACACTGATGACTGTAAAATTTTCGTGCACACTTTTAACCGTCAGAGAAAATATTAAGACCACGCCTCAACCTTTAATACATGAACAATCCCTTTGATATTCAAAACGTCTCTCCGGGAATAATATTCTTCTCATTCAATGTAAAGAACAAATTTTAATTTAATCAAATTCCGATCTTTTCTTTTTATAAATCCGAGCGAAAAAAAGACTTTTCTTACTATTTTTGCTGATGCACAATTTTGTTATTATGAACAGCAAAAAACACAAAAAATCAAAATTTAAATTTCGTTTGAAACAATTTATAGAATGTTTTAATGAGTTTACAATTATTGTGATTGTTAATAAGGCCCAAGAAAATTAGCAAGGAAGAATCTAAACCCAGGTGAAAAAAGTAAGAATGAGTTTAAAGATAGGATAAGTACTCAAGTGGAAGGAAGGATAAGAACGATTATCCAGTTATAGGTAAGAAAGGTCTCCAGGTGAAAGGAGGGATAAGTCTTCATGTGGAAGGAAGGATAAGTCTCCAGATGAAAGGAATGATAAGTTTCTAGGTGAAAGGAAGGATAAGTCTTCAGGTGGAAAGAAAGAATGATAAGTCTCCAGATGGACGGAAGAATAAGTTTCCATATGGAAGGACGGATAATTCTCCAGGTGGAAGGAAGAATAAATCTCCAGGTGGATAGAAGGATAAGTCTCTAGGTGGACGGAAGGATAATTATTCAAGTGGAAGGCAGGATAAGTTTCCAGGTGGACAGAAGGATAAATCCCCAGGTTGACGGAAGGATAAATCTCCAGGTGGAAGGAAGATAAGTCTCCAGGTGGAAGGAAGGATTAGTATTCAAGTGGAAGGCAGGATAAGTTTCCAGGTGGACAGAAGGATAAATATTCAAGTGGAAGGCAGGATAAGTTTCAAGGTGGACAGAAGGATAAATCTCCAGGTGGAAGGAAGATAAGTCTCTAGGTAGAAGCAAGAAGAGTGGTAGGAAGGATAGAGAATCAAGGATCCTGGTTCAAGAAAGAGGATGGAGAAGAGGCTCCGGGAATATGAGGATTGAGAGGTTTAGTTTGAGAGAAACAACAGGAGAAGACAGAGTTTAAGCTGAGATCTTAATCTTATCCCTCGGACAAAAATTCAGTACCAAGCACATCTAAATATTACATAAATCAATACTATACTTTAAAATAGATGTTTTCGTAAAACTAGAATTACTGATTGAAACTATTTAAATAGAAATTATCATTATTGAAACTATTTATATAAATTATCATTATTAGGGAATACAAGTTTCCAAAATGATTGAAAGTTTCTAGGATTAGAGAAGAGACCAATTATCATTGGTTATATTTAATAAAGAGATGGATTTATTGTCCTAGCCAGGCAACAGTTTTATTTACAGATTAATATTTTTATCTTTGTAAATTCTCATTACAACTCGAATATCCTTATTCTTTAGTTAATGTTGTGAATTGAAGCTTTTATTTCTCTTTAGGCAAATTATTTTTTACACGCTAGTTCTCATATATCTATATATGTACTTTTCTTGTCTGTCTGTTTGTTTGTATCCAATAAACGTCAAAACGGCTGAACCGATCAGGCCCAAAATTTTTGTGGGATCTCGCGTGGGAAGGTTTATGAATGATCAAAATTTTAAAAATTTGTTTTTAAAAGTTTTTCTATTTCGTAAAATTTTGAAAATGCGCGAAAAAAGTTTATGAAATCCGCAAAGATGCTCACAGATAAAGCCACAATTAAAGGTTGAAATAGAAGATGGGCGCGAAGCGCCTCAAAATCATAGTCTATATTTTTACTTTGCTTGTCTGTCTGCTTGTTTGTCTGTTTGTATCCAATAAACGTCAAAACGGCTGAGCCGATCGGGTCCATTTTTTTTGGGACCTCGCGTGACCCCAGGGAAGGTTTATGGATGATAGAATTTTCAAAAATTTGCCTGTAACAAAGTTCGATTATTGAAAATTTTGAAAATCTACGATTTTTTTTATAAAATCTGCGAAATTTTTTGTTTTTGTTTTACAATGTATACATAAAGAGCATGTTCACAATTGAAATAGAATCCTAATTCTTGTAAACTCTCTTTGTATTTATTCACGTATTCTCATGTTCATAAACATTCCTTCATTCACAAATTTATATTTTTTTCTTCTTTTTCTTCTTTCATCTCCTCCTATTCCACCTAGCCTTTTTTTCTTCCTACTCCACCTAATCTTTCTCCTCCTCATACTCCACCTATACTTTCTTCTCTTCCTACTCCACCTACACTTTCTTCTCTTCCTACTCCACCTGTGCTTTCTTCTCCTCCTACTCCACCTACACTTTCTTCTTCTCTTACTACACTCATACGTTTTCCTCCTACTCCAGCTATACTTTCTTCTCCTCCTAGTCCACTTAGACTTTTTCCTTCTCCTACTCCAACTTTACTTTCTTCTCCTACTCCCCCTTTACTGTCTTCTCCTCCTACTCCGCCGAAATTTTCACTTTCTACTCCTACTTCAGCTAAGCTTTTTACTCCTCCTACTCCACACATTCTTTTCTTCCTACTCCACCTAAACTTTCTTCTCCTCCAACTCCATCTCTACTTTCTTCTTCGTATACTCCATCCATCTTTATAGATTTTTTCTCCTCCTACTCCATCCACCTATATAGTTTCTTCTCCTTCTACTCCATCCACCTATATAGTTTCTTGTCCTCCTACTCCATCCACCTATATAGTTTCTTCTCCTCTTGCTCCATCCACATATCTAGTTTCTTCTCCTTCTACTCCATCCACCTTTAGTTTCTTCTCCTCCTACTCCATCCATCTATATAGTTTCTTCTCCTCCTACTCCATCCACATATCTAGTTTCTTCTCCTCCTTCTCCATTTACTTATACTTCTTCTCCTCTTACTCCATCCATCTATATAGTTTCTTCTCCTCCTACTCCACCTAGACTTAGTTTATTTATCTTATATATATTATAGCATTTCTTCCTAATTTTTCATTCTTTACTTTCTCTTTATTTTTCTATTTTAATCTTATAGATCCATACCTACTTCCCCTTTTCTAATGCTTTTTACATTTTTTATCGTGTAACTTTAGTAACCGGTTCCTACCATGGTTTATACTTTTTTGTTTTGTTAATCCTTGTATACTTTTACCGTGTAACTTTAGTAACTGGTTTCTACCATGGTTTATACTTTTTTTTAAATCCTTGTATACTTTTATCATGTAACTTTAGTAACTGGTTCCTACCATGGTTTATACTTTTTTGTTTTGTTAATCCTTGTATACTTTTATCGTGTAACTTTAGTAACTGGTTCCTACCATGGTTTATACTTTTTTTTAAATCCTTGTATACTTTTATCATGTAACTTTAGTAACTGGTTCCTACCATGGTTTATTCTTTTTTGTTTTTTTTAATCCTTGTATACTTTTCATATCCACATAAAATTGTTCTCAAATATGTACGCTTTGTTGCCCAATTTACAGTATTTTCTCCTTTAACCATTCCTTCGTTCTCTCCTTCTCTCCTCTCTTTTCCTATTCTCCCGTCCGTCCTCTTTCCTTTTCTATTTCATGTTCTGTACAATAAGAGTTGAAATATATATTTGTAAATATATAAGTTTTGTAACTAACCCAACTATACCACAACTTTTTCATTCAAACAAATTACTTTTAGCATTTTTTTTATTTGAAACTGTTTCAGATATAATACAATATAAATAAATACAAAATGGGAACGGAAGGATCCAGAGCTACTTGCAGAGACAAAACTAACAGAGGTGAATTCTATGTTACTTATTCACTTTATTTTTCAACGATATTTTTACTTCTTCGTCCTCCAACAACATTTAAATTAGGAACAATTTTTAAAGAACATTTTAAGCATTTTGTGCTGAATAGTTTAAAACAATTTTTAGATTAAATTCTATTTGACGTTAGATTGTACATAATTTTACTATCAGGCAAATTAGAGTTTAACATGCAGTTATCTTTTTACGCTTCCTGCCTTCGGAAAAACTTTTTTTTTGGTATTTATTTACGGTTAAAAATCATTCAAAAATGTTAAAGCCTCGAATACATTACATTAAATTATCTATTGAAATCAGCGAAATCGTTGAATATTTGAACATTGTACATTAAAGATTATTGAACTGATTTATTTGTGAAATATTAAAATTAAATGATGTACTCTGTCAGAATGTTCTATGTACAATTTACATACATATAGCTATGAATAATGAATTAGCAATTTCATCAAGTTGAGAATTATTGTTGATAAACTTTACTTTTACTGTTGAATAGATACTTGTCCTACAGATAGTTGTCCTACAGATAATTTTCCTACAGATAGTTGTCCTACAGATAATTGTCCTACAGATACATGTCCCACAGACACTTGTCCACTTGTCCTACAGATACTTGTCTAACAGATATTTGTTCTAAAATACTTGTCCTTAAGATACTTGTCCTTAAAATACTTGTCCTAAAGATACTTGTCCCAAAGATACTTGTCCTTAAGATACTTGTCCTAAAGATACTTGTCCTAAAGATACTTGTCCTAAAGATACTTGTCCTAAATTACTTGTCAGATCTATGCAGTACCACTCTATAATTTCTTGCCTTTTCTAGGATTGTAATATTAAAGAACGGAAAAGTAATTTCGTTCCATCGAGATGGTTCAAAACGAAGATGGGTTCGTGTACAAGGTTCGGAGCTGCATAGGTGGACAGATAGGATGGTTACTGGGACACAGAGCTCCGCGTCTTTGTTATTCGTCTTTACCTCCAATAGCGGAGTCTACTGCAACCAGGTTAGAAACAATACAAAGATACTCAGTTCCAAAACAGGTTGTCTCAGTTCTCATTCAGGTTGTCTCAGTTCTCATACAGGTTGTCTCAGTTCTTGATACATGGTTCAATCCTTAAATATTGTTTCAAACTTTAATGCTGTTTCCAATCCTTTAATATTGTTTCCAATCCTTCAATTTTGTTTCCAATCCTTTAATTTTGTATCCAATCCTTTAATTTTGTTTCCAATCCTTCAATTTTGTTTCCAATCCTTCAATTTTGTTTCCAATCCTTTAATACTGTTTCCAATCCTTCAATTTTGTTTCTAGCCATTTTAGATATTTTTTGTTCATCTTTTATCCATAAGTTTGACTAATAATAAGGTTTATTCTCCCTGCATGTACTCAAGTATACGGAGGAATTGAGTATTGGTTGCTCCATCTTTATTATCTGGAATCTACTAACTACACAGACAAATATATGTATTTAGTTGGAAATATGAATGTTTTTTTTTTCCATCTGTTCTAACGAATCCATAATTAATGTAGCAGGTTTATTTAACATTTAAAGCAATTAGCGTGTAATTAAAATCAATATTGCTCCTCGCATAGATTAATGTGGTGCAGCGTCCATTTTATAATTTTTAAACCCCTTTTCTTTCGAAACAATTGTTTCCTTGGACGCCGCTTAAGTTGCTTTTTGAACGTCAATTCCTTGAATGTCAAGGCAGTCTGTTTTTACTCGGTTTGTAATTGGTTTTAAATAAGATTTACCACACATTGGATGATTGGACCGAGATCTATAGTTGCAAAAAATATGCTTTAAAAAAGAGTCAAATAAAATCCGGTAAATAAATAAACTAAGAATATTACAATTTTAATCAGCAAAAAATTATATTGAGAAAGAAAAGAATAAAATGGAGTAATCTTATATTCATTAAACGTATGAAAAAACTATAAAATGTATAAATTAAGCTCACTATTTCCTATCAAAACAGTTTTTAAAAGTTAGTCGCTATTTCTAATCAAAACAGTTCCTTTAAGTAAGTCATTATCCTCTAGCAGCAAAGTTACTCTAAGTTAGTCACTATCCTCTTGCAGCACAGTCCCTCTAAGTAAGTCACTATCATCTAGCAGCATAGTCCCTCTAAGTAAGTCACTATCATCTAGCAGCAAAGTCCCTCAAAGTTAGTTACTATCCTCTAGCGGGAAAGTTCCTCTAAGTTAGTCACTATCCTCTACCAGCAAAGTCCCTTTAAGCTAGGCACTATCCTCTAGCAGAACAGTCTCTCTAAGTTAGTCACTATCCTCTAGCAGCAAAGTCTCTCTTACTTAGTCACTATCCTCTAGCAGCAAAGTCCCTTTAAGTTAGGCACTATCCTCTCGCATCAAAGTCTCTCTAAGTTAGTCACTATCCTCTAGCAGCAAAGTCTCTCTAAGTTAGTCACTATCCTCTAGCAGCAAAGTCTCTCTTACTTAGTCACTATCCTCTAGCAGCAAAGTCTCTCTAAGTTAGTCACTATCCTCTAGCAGCAAAGTCCCGCTAAGTTAGTCACTATCTGAGACGATTAATGAAGTTTGACTATCTTCTCTTGGTTTAGTATAAAGACTGTTCTCTGTACTCAGGATCCATTAATATTTTCAAACTTTGAATAAAGATGTTTTATTGCTCTGGGGTGTAAACTCTACAGTATGAAAACATGATTTATGTTTGGTTTGTATACATTATACATATAAAGTATGATGTAGCAAGACAAGATTTCGTCTCAACTATATACTTATAAAGCTTTTCCAGTCTTAAAGTTGTTTTAGTTTAATAGGTTTACATTATATATTGCTGGGTCATACATCAGAAAACAGAGTTTTAGTTCATCATAAAGGAACGTTAAACCCTTGCCTCAAATTCTAATTTTTAATCAATATATCGTTGCAACAGTTGTTTGCAATTATTAATATCACATTCTTTCAAGACTGAAAACTCATATTTTTTGCTTTTGATTTGTAATTGTGGTACCAGTACAAACGTCGGACGCCACAAACGTCGGACCAGTACAAATGGACCATATTGTTTTGAAAAATTTCAAACTATGAATTCTACAAGATCATACAGTTTAATCCCTATATCTTTGCAACCCGCTGTTGTAGACCTTAGATATTTCAAACAATGAATTCTATAAGATCATACAGTTTAATCCTTGTTTTTCCTTTGAATACATTGGTAAAAGGTTTTGTTGGGTTTCTTCTTTGTAACCCATATTCAAACTGATTGGAATCAAATTTGTGATATTATGAATTTTTAACAAAAAAAATTGGGATTTTTTTTTAGAGAAAATTGCGAATTTACAAGAATTTTAATCTGAAAATTCAAATTATTTTTTCCTCCTTAGTCCGACGTTTTTCCTTATAAATGTACCCGTCCGACGTTTGTACTGGTCCGACGTTTGTACCAGTCTGACATTTGTACTGGTCCGATGTGTGTACTGGTCCGACGTTTGTGCTGGTCCGACGTTTGCACTGTCCGACGTTTGTAAGTCTTATGTTTGTACCGTCCGACGTTTGTGGGTCCGACGTTTGTACTGGTACCGTAATTGTTTATTAAATATTAAAGAAAAAGCTTTATTACAGAAAAAAATGAAAATGTAAATGTAAATTCATTCTTGATGCTTGTTTTAGCGTTTTGGGAACTGAACACTCAGCACAAACTTTAAATTTCTAGTCACAATATTTTCGCAACCTGATGATGTAATTTTTGGTATTTAAAACTTGAACTTTTTGATCTAACGAAATTCATAGCTTTAAAAATATCAAAGGTTGCATCATATTGCAAAGATGTAGGGATTAGAAAATTAGTTTGTGGCTAGTTTGTTAGTTTGTGGCTAGTGTTCAATTTCTTTTATGTGATTTTTTAATTGATTTTTTTGCTGAAAAATTACTCAATGTTTTTAATTTAGCTTGATATTTTTGAATGCGTCTGGCTAACAACTTTCAGTTAGAAAAATATCTAGAATTACATTACATTCGTTAAAAATATTTTTAATGCTATTGATTTAATTGGATTTTTTCCTCATTCCAGAACAGAGTTCTATTTTATAAATCCGCCAATAAATCAATACGTACAATAATTTTCAAATACATTCTTAAGAAATTTTATCTGAATCGTTAGAGTCTGAACAAGGGTTAATCAAATTATGTCTGCTTGTTGGAATCTGAACAAGGGTTAATCAAATTTTGTCTGTTTGTTTGAGTCTGAACAAGGGTTAATCAAATTCTGTCTGTTTGTTTGAGTCTGAACAAGGGTTAATCAAATTCTGCCAATCCTTTAATTTTGTTTCCAATCCTTCAATTTTGTTTCCAATCCTTCAATTTTGTTTCCAATCCTTTAATTTTGTATCCAATCCTTTAATTTTGTTTCCAATCCTTCAATTTTGTTTCCAATCCTTNTTCCAAGTCGAGAAAGCTGACTTTAGTAGAGAAAAGTTTCCATGCAAGGCTGGGTTCCCAAGCTAGTTTTTAAAAAATATAAATTGTGAATAATGCTTAACCCGTTAGTTCACCAAGTGCCAGGCATATTTTAGATAGAGTCCTTTCTCTGATGAGCTATTTATAATAAAAAAGTTTCAAATCCTTAAATGCAACCAACCAAGTTTAATTTTCTATGTAAAATAAAAGCGGGAGTACTTCCAAGGTCGCCAAGTCCTACCAGTAATTTCTTGACTGTGTTCCTCTTGTCCAGTTAGTAGTGAAGATCGGGTTGACTTTAAAATTGCTTTTGTTTTCCTACAGCCTCCTTAAAACATCAAGAAAATTCTCTTAAGTGTAAGAATCTACTGAAATAATGATGGGTAGAAATATGAAAGTCTGGAACGGGCCCGAAAACTTATTTAAGATAAAATCTTCACTTCCGGTTCAGACTTTCTAAAATCAAAACCCCAAAGCAAAAAGAAAAAATTTCTTCTTCCAAAAGTTTACATAAAGTCACTGAAAACGGTAAAAAGACCTGTTTTTAAAATGATTTATGTATTGTACAGTTCTAGGACTATGTTTGCTTAGAAAATATAAAATAAAATCGTGCCGTGGTGGTATGTTAGACTGATATGAGATTGAAATCTGTTTTCCTAAAACTTTTAATTTAAATTCCATGTTCGCAGAAGCATTTTCCAAATAAATTATATGTTTGCTGTCTCCCAAGTATGTTGGATCGGTGCAAGGTTAAAAATTAAATGTGATTAAATAAGATCAAACAATCATGTAGCACATGAATCCAGACTGCTCTGAAAAGGAATTGAGTCTTTGCCACAAACTCTGATTTTTAAATCCCAATATCTTGACATCCAAATATTGTAGACCGTAGATATTTCAAACTATAACTTCTGTTATATCAAACAATCAAAGTTTGAAATATCAAAGGTTTACATAATTTGGTTGTAGATATATTGGTATTAGAAAATTGGGATTTGTTGCAAAAACTCAATTCCTTTGCATCAATTTTTAAAACTAGGTCGACTTTCAAATGTCTCAATGCTTTAGCCATTGATTTTACATCACTAACACACCTATACATTTTGTAGCCCTAGATATTTCAAAACTAAGTTCAGTAATGGAAAAAATCATTCTCGACGATTATTGCGTGTTAGCGTGCAACCTTTGAATCACTGCGGGAGCGCGATCACAGTTTGTGCTTGATCAGTCCAACGTGATCGTAAAGCATGCTTTTTTTTACTTCAGTTTATTTTAGGAATCTCAAAAACAACTTTCTTCCTCCTTTAGTCCTAACAAATTTCTAATATATTGTGTGAAATATTTTTAAAACGCCCCATTTTTTAAAATATTGGGTTAACAAAAAAGCCAAATTCATACAGTGGTCGGCGAAGTCCAAATATCTGTGTGTAGGTAGCTGGGTCCTATCGTTTTTAACTCAAAACAAAGTTGATTTCATTTTAGTTTGATTTTATGCATGTTTTTTGAAATACTGTAGATATAAGAAACAATAGGTTTTATCCTTATATGCAACAAAACAATTTTAC